CTCACTTCTACTTTGACCAGTGTCAGTTACACGTCTCAGAATACTGCACCCATGGGAGTTCAAAGGTTAGGTAAGACATCAGACCGCGAGGTTGTGCACTATAGCACCTGCAAATGCGATGTGACGTCTACACGCGGTGTGTCGAGAGGAATTATTATAATGCGATCTACAATATATATATTTATATATACATTAACCCACAATCTCACAAGATATCGCTGAACTAGAGGATTTAAGTATGATAAAATATATCATTTTATTTATATACTGTCTTCATTAAACAATATTGTTTAAATTTATGAATCACAAGAGAAACAGAAGAGGCCATAACTGTTAATTATTCGATAAAACAGCAATGATACTACGAATATCTTACATCTTTTTTTTTTATGTTTAATTTTATGTTACACTTTTTTTCTAATATTTGAGATATCGTTGCTGTTCCCACGAATAATCAATAGTCACGTTGCATGGATGTGTGAGCACACGATGTGTGTGATCCAAAAATCTTGATGATTCTTAGTGATTCTTTGCCTGAATGAATGTTACAATGTTGCATTTATGTAACATAGTCTACGTGTGTCGCAAGCATATATGATGGTTAGCCATAACGTATCATAATAGTTGCTGTTATATAATGCATAATATTTACAATATATTTTGGACTGACAGATGCTATTTTTCCTCAAGTTTCTCTCCTGTATTTCAGCAATGCTCCACGGTCCATTACTAAGATATTGGGGAGACAGTTGCTGGATAATCCAAGGTAATTCAGGTTAGGTTATCGGTTAACACGGTTTATCGAATGTTCTGATTCCGTTTTGTTACAAATCAAAAATTGTGCCATCTGTGACAAGTGACTGAACAACGTACTCTAAATCTCTTGTAAAGTATACAGTCGATAATAATATGCTGAAAGCACTATCCTCTATACCGATCAATAAATCATACAACTTTGTAGAATTTCTGTAAGATGGCGATAGAAGCGGAACGCAGCCATCATGAATCAAATTGTGTCCGGAGGAAGTGGGGGATGACGGTGACGAGAGGTGGTCCGTTGCTGGTTAAGCCTACTACTCAAAGGGTGGAGTTTGTCACACGTGACCTACGATCACTTGCAGTTGCAACATTGGCGTAGCACTGCAATTTTGTGCATTATTTATTAAACTGATAAAGATATGTATATTTCAATATTTAATATCTTAAATTTTTTTTATTTTAAGTTTATGTGTATGTAGGTATATTTAATGGATACATAGCATAACTTTTGTCATTTTTCTAAATTATTATTTATTAATTACCGTTTTGAAAAAACCGGTTCTTTCAATTATTTCTTAGTTTATTTGGTTTCTTTAGCGCGAATGTAAAAAAAAAGGTGTTTTCCGAAGTTTCGAAATTATATTATTAATATTATTTATTTTTGTTTCTTGCGAGTAAATTATATATATACCGTGTGTATGTATGTTCATTAGATATATATTCTCGTTTTCATTTTGTAAAATAAAATTGATATTTATCGTTTTTATTTCAAAATAATATTTTATTGATATTGTTATGTGAAATAAAATAACATATCACACTCTATCTCTTGAATTTGTAAAAATTTCTTGCATCAATAAGTCTATAAATTTTGCTTCTAATATTTCTATATACATGATAATGTTCAACAATTTCGGAATAAATGTTAAGTTTACAAAAAAAATATCGCATTTTTCCACATTGACTTTTTACTACATTCTCATCAAAATTTGTAAATGCAAAATACTTATTATTTTTGAATTCATATTATTGTGATACATGAAGTGAACATATAAAATCGAACTTTTACATAAGCCCAATATATAAATTTTACACTTCTATAATATGTATAAATTTTACACAATTTTAAATTGCGTGTTTACACAATTTTACACAATTTTTAATTGCGTGTTTTTGGTAAAACACTGTTATACCAGTGTTCAATAGATAAACTAATTTGTCGAAATTTCTTATCTCAAGTATCTTATACAGTGTGCTCATATGATATGAAAAAAATTGGTAACTTAGATCTATCGGTACAAACGCAAAGTTTCAGCTCGAATGTCGGTAACGTATCGTGAGAGATAAACTTTTGTGCAGAGATATCTCTTGATAATTAAATCTAACGTTATCCCGAGCGGTTATCAATCGCTTCAGTAACATCAGTTGTAATTGTCGAAACAAAACTTAAAAATTATACCTCCTACTGACTTTTAAAGTATGCATACCGATCGATTTATTTCTTAATACTTATCAGATGCAGGATTACTAGAAATTTTTAATTATACGTACCGTTCTTAGATATTGCGATGTATCGTGACTGTTGATCATTTGAAGGCACAGCAGTGATATTAGAGCAAGAATGAATTTTTAGCGAGTGTTAAGAAGTTAATATCGGTCGGTATATATGTCGAGCGTACATAGCACATGTGGGTATTCATTTGAAAGATGTGCGACTTTTTCGCACATTCGATGAGCGACGTCTTAAACCGACGTTGTAAGTCAGCAACAACGCCTTACCACCAGACTCGAGAACGAGTTCTAAGCTTATAGTCGTGAATGAAAGCTTATCGTAACAATGTTGCTGGCAGTCAAGAGTGAGTCGAGAATGAGCGTTAAAGCATAAGGTCGCGAGAGAACTCATTCCACATACATCCAATATATGTATATATATATGTGTGTTGCCTCACGTGTTTTACATGTTTTACATGTAGAAATATCGATTGTTTCAATGATGATTTAATACGATTTACTAACGATTTTAATAAAGTTTATAGGCACGCATGGCTTTCAGAAATGGTTAAATTATATGTATGAATTTATTGTTATTATTATTATTATATATAATAAGTTCGATTTTGACGCTGCCAAAGACAAAATTTGCCAAAATTCTTTCTTCTCTATAACGTTTTTTCTGTTAACACGTTTAATCGAAATTCTAAAAATCTCCCTCTAGTTTTGTGTACACCCGCAGAGTCATGGGAAAACGTTAGGTTCGTTTGTAGTATCATCTCCTTTGAAAAGAAACTTTTCGATTTCAGGTATACGGGACTTCACAGTCTGTGAATTCCGGGGTAAGATTTATGGCGCTACCTAAAAAATGCAAATGCAGCCTTGACGAAGAAGCTCACCGTGACGTTTCCAAAGTGTTCTACGACGTTCCACGATTTTTTCAGAACATTACAAAATATTATATGAAATAAAAACAGACGAAATATATATATATGCGAGGCTGTGTGTGCAGCATCGCGGATGTATTTACTTCATTTTAATAACTACGATAGAGAAGCGTCGGCAGTGGTAGTGGTGGTGGTAACTGTCACCAAAGACAATTTATGTTAATGACTGTCCGTAACCGAGGAACGCCGAGGTCGCTCGGCAGAACAGTCTGCAGGTCGCCGTAGTAGCGATCGGACACGAAGCTCCTTGCTCGACTTTCGAATTCTCCCCACTCTAGCCCCTGAATTCACCACCTCGCCGAGTCCTGGCTGTTCCATCCCTACGATGGCGACGCCCAGCGTCGATTCGTGCGCATTTCCATCCCCAACTCAGAGACTCGTCTTCTTGGGAACGTCCGTGCGCTTAACGGGAGGAAATCATTGTTTTGCGACAAACCAGTGCAACAACATAAATTTGACTTGAATGTGCTCGAAATCGACCGATACATCGGTGAGTTTATGTGTACGTACTTTCGTTGTTTTGTCGAAACCCGTTTACTTTATTGTTTGTGAGAGGAAGGTGTGATATTTATAGTGACGTGTGTATTAGACTGAAGAATCCTCGAGAAGGCTCGTTTAAGAGTTCGCAAAGAAACAAAAATAGAACGCAATATTTTTGTTTTTCGTTCAAGACGCAGTGTCAGTTCAATGAATATTGTAAACGAGAGAGAGAGAGAGAGTGAGGCTTTTTTTATTTACATGTCATGCAAGCGTTCTCTCCTGGTATGTCCTTGACATTGTCTATTTTTAACAGTCGAGAACTGAGAACGACTACAGAGGAGCAAAGTACGGCCTGCTATGAATTGTCGGAATCACCATTCTAAAACAACGCAGAAATGTTATCAATCGCACATCAATATCTCAAAATTTGTGTGAAGAAATCTCTTGGTTTTCGGGGTGCGTTAACAGTTCGTAAAATACAAAATGTATTATTATATAGATATAATCATAGAAAGAGAGAGAAAGAGAGAGAAAATAGATGGATTTACTATTGCACTTCTACTTGAAATATGTAAACAAATTTGCGTTAAACAATATGCGATGCATGTTTTCTGTAAAAATTATGGTAAGTAGAGAGAGAGAGAGAGAGAGAGAGTCCGTTTTGTTTTCTGTTTACATATATTTTAATTCGCCAATGTAGTCGAGGGTACATTTTGGGTACAATGGCGCATTGTTTCTTTCATAAACGATATCGTTAACAAATACCATTGATTTAAATCAATTCGGGAGATTAACAGTCAAGGAATTTTAAGCCTCGTCTGGGATACTAACATCTCGAATGAACAAATACGAGCGAAATGCACGCCGAGAATATCACGCTGTTTTCGCATTCGGCTCCAATTCTGAATTTCGGCACCGATTGTGCGGGATTAGGTCTTTTTTTTTTTACGTAACATGTGGAAGCCGCCGTTATTGACTTATTCAAATAAGAGAAATAGATATGATTGTCATTAGCATGATGTCGATAGCCGGCGGACTTACACTTCGGCACACGTATAAGGCACCGCCGCGGTGGCGCCGACGGTGGTGAATTTTGCGACTCCCCGCATAGCCTCTTGCAATCTGGCGGGACGCCGATCGATTTGCACAGTGCTCCTCACCCGCGACACGGTTCCATTTCGGTTCATTTCGTAACTCGCGGTGCGAGTAATTGCACAATGGGAATATCCCCGCACGGGATCGCGGAAGATCTTCACGCCGTCGCGAGCCTTCCGACGGATCGAACGGTCGGAGGGATGTCGTTCCGCGCGTCCTATTTACGCGGAAATAAACGGACTGATCGTGTGCACAAGTGGTACATGGCCGCGTAAAATCAGTGAAATCTGATCGTGACGAAAGGAACGCAGGAACTGCCCGTACGTTGTTACGTATGCTTATCAAATTCATTTTATAGATCCCTTATTTCCGCGCGACCACGCGACCACGCTCGGGAATAACGTTTGAAGCGCGGCTTTACGAATAACGTGTTATGCGTACGGTTACTTTACGAAACACGATAATCGGCGTGAGATAATCGTTCACATCGTGCACGAAAGCGCCGCCGGTCTAATTAAAGACTTATCCCGAACACGTTTTCGCGCATCTAATTAATCCGATCTGCAAATTTATCAGGTGTCTCCGACCGCGGGAAAATTGATCTCTCGAGGGAGCTTATATCTTTCGAAGATTTCTCATCTCCGATATGGATCACACGATGTTATTCGAGCTCCGAGAGTGTGCGATCGCGATAATCGATGCGACCGAACTATCCCGCCCCGTCGGCTGCTAGAATATCCTCATCTCGCGCTTGTCTCGAATGTATTCGTGTAAAAAATATGAATTTTGAGGAATCGCGTGTTGATTTCCGAAGATGTGAGTTAATGCACGTCGATGGTACAGTCAAGCAGCACACGGATGAACAAGAGATAGCACGACGATGAGGTGTCGAATGATCGATGTTCTTCGTTTCGCGAAGAACACAGCAGCAGCCTTGAGAGGTAGCCGTATATTTTTTTAATACATCGCGTGCTAAGCTGATTTCACTAAGATTTCCCCCGGGACCGTGCGACTTTTCTCTTCAATTGTCACTTCACTTTTACTCTCCCAAGTGTTACTTCACTTTAATTCATGTCTTATCACTCGAGACGAACCGTCCGAAGTAAGAATTTCTGCGCCGTTCATCACACCGGTCGAACTTGTAGCGTTATTCATTTACATATCGCGTAGCATTGAACGTGTTAATGGAATTGTTACCATCAAATTGCGACACGTGTCTCAGGCATGCGTGTTAGTCTTCCGTCACTTACCATCCAACTGGTTTTACACTCACATCTAATTCGATTTGTATTAAAGTCGCGACGCATCGTACACCGGTTTGTACGACGTCGTTTTGTTAACAAGACTTTAACTTCGATAGCACTTCGGTCGAATTAAAGCACCGGTGTGCGACAAATTAACACATTTCCGCAAGATGACGACACACTGTGCAATTTATGCGTGAGAGACCCAACGAGGCCTTGTTAATCTTATACCAGCGATTCATGCGGCCAACTATATCCTCGGTACACCAGACGATTACATCGGCATCACATGCCCTGTACAATAGCGCGAGAACACTAATTCTATCAATAAACATTGTATAAGCTGCAACTTTTAGCCGGACATGAATTTTGATGTGTATGTTATTCAATCTATTCCGATCGTTGCTATCGGACATTCAGACCAGACATATTATTGTAAAACAATTTTGCAAGTAATCTTAATAGTTAAGTGTGTGAATTCAAGTCGCCTCGGGCGTGGAAATTACCCGAAATTTCCTGTTTCTTCCACAATAAGGAGCCGACTTTGCTGTCGGCGTTTTTCTTTTCTCAGGATTGGAGCAGGTATCACGGACCGTTGTAGGTAATAGGCGACTGGAATAATGGCGACCAATTTGACCTTCGGTTTCGTAGCCAACATGCCGCGCGTTTCCAACTTCCCCGAAGTTTTTGTCTTCGAGATCCCACGTGTTACTTCTGTACAATTTAAAACCGTTGATGCTTTCCGGCAAACCATTTTCGCGACATATAATCGAATTCGATCGTAACCGTTACACGGTCGTATTCATACGAAAATTAATATTTTTTATAATCTTAATATTTATGTATAATATATATACTAAATATATTAATATAAAAAATTATCAACTATTTCACAGCGTAACGATTACTTATCATTTATTATAATCATTCATATCAAGTGTAAAGGAACGATTTATGTAAGTAAAGCGAATATATCATATGTATATATACAGATGCTTTTATACATATGTTATATGTATAGGAAGAGAGGAGGAGAGAGGAAATTTTCACATTAATGAGAAACTCGTAGTTCATTTATACTAGACTTGCTCTTCAATCGAGCAATGAATTACTCTGATAAAAGCTTGTTATTATAGATCGATTCATTTATTATCACGGCACAAAAGTCGCATATTCCCCATAGATGCTGTGTGAGCCCTCACGTGAATTTCATTTCAGGATCGCATAAAATGGTGCTGAAGGGGACAGAAGGGGGAAAGACGAGGAGGAAGAAACACGAGGGGAGAAGAATGGAGCTGCGGGAAGACTAGGGGAATGAGAGGGAAGGGAAAGATGCCGGCTGGCAAGCAGATGGTTGCCCCGTTTATTGGTTTATTCGTCGGTTCAGCCATGACGTTCCGTCTAGCCATGAAACAAACCGGAGATTCTGCCTGTGTTAGAGAGTATCAAATAACGAGACCACGACTACTCTTTCCATTAAAAATGCATCCAAGAGCTGCTTGTTCGTAGCGCCGTATGTAAGTAATTTCAAGCATAAACCATACAGCAGCTCAAAGCCACCAATTATTATTCAAAATAACAATTACACGCACGTAGGAAATATTTTATTCATTTTTTTCTTGTAGCGTTTATGAAAAGCAATGTTCATACATCGATAAAGTATTTACCCATTTTACATAGTTTTATGTAGGCGGTGAAAAATTTTGTGTCAAATTTAATATATTTCACATGTCCCAAACGGTCCACATAAATTTTTCTGTTAGTTTAACACAAGATGAATATGTTAAAAAGTAATATAAACATTATGTCAAAATTTAACATCATAAAATTAAATATGTTATTCGATGCTGAAGTATAAAATGTGTCATTTCAACACTTACACATATTAAATATCGACTCAACACAAAATATATAGTGAGATAACATAAATACAATATATTAAATTAACACATGGATATGTTAAAAATTTAGCACAAACGTTATTGTGCATATCCAATATTTATCACAACACTATCACACACATACACACATAAATAATTTCGCACAAAATATCTTACATGCTACAAAAAAAATAGTGTATCGATCGCGTCCGAGAGCCATAAGACTTTCGACAAAACAGAAATATTCTTACTTTAATGCAACTTACTGCACCGATATATGTTTTAACTAGATTGTATACATATATCAGACTTTATACGATATACTTGTAATATGGATTAGTTTTAAAATAGAGATTCGCACAAATATATTCGGTCAAAAATCATTTAACATAATCAGTGAAAAACTTTTAATAGCACATTGAAGCGACAATACATGTATTAAAAATTATGTGTAGTGGCAAGGATATTAAAGCTGTTTCGGCGGCGACGTGTAAACGTGCAAGAACATATAGATGAAATCCAGTAATGGCGTCCTAGGGGCGGACGAAATACTCGGGTCGATAGAAGGAAGGCTACCTACAGAGCTCAAATACTCTCTCATCTTACTGCCGACAATCACCCCCACCAACAACCTTCTTTAGCGGCTCATCGTCGGAAATATAATCGGCAATTATTTTAAAGTAAGTATATATAAAATTTGAAATCTATATTTTGTACATAAAACAATTTATATAAAAATTACTTATAAAAATATACACAAACCAACATAATAGTCTCAACCTCCGGCATCATGATAGTGACTATAATTTTTCAACGTGTCTATACATATTTATGTGTCATGACTGTTGATTATTCGACAAAATGGCAAAGATGCATAAGATATCATTTTTCTTATTATACGTGTTCTTATATTTTGTGTTACAAATGCCATTCTTTTTAAATAATAATTGAGATACAGTTGCCGTTTCTTTGAATAATCATGCAGGGAAGAAGATTTCTTTGAATTTAACGAATCTTCTTTAGTTAAAACGAATTTGTCCTTTGGAATGAAGAAAACGAACGAATATTTGATCCAACAAATAATAATGATTCAGCAACATGAATTTAAGAACATGATTTATTCTAATGAAATAACAACACTTTCATTGAAACAAAATGATATTTGATATTAAATTATATTGTTTGTATCAAGCCAAAGTCAAACACGTATACTAAATTCAAGGAAATCTTTTTCTCTGCACATGATGCATGAATATGTCAATACAATACGAATAACTTCAAAATTCTAGTTACTACTGTGTCACTAGATGTTGAGATTATTTTTTAGTTTGTATGCAAATCCGAGAAAGTTATAAAATATAATGGAATAATTTGCAGCTTTTTTATTTAGGGAATCTTGGTGTTCTCGTACGGATGTAACTATGTCGATAAAGCGAATTGCAAGGTGACAGAATGTAAAAAAATAATATATCGTTAGTGAATGATAAAAACTATTTATAAAAATAAGGTAATTAAAATAAATTCTTAGCAAGAATTTTGCGTAAACATTGTTTATAATGTTCACACAGAACGTTGCACAGGCTTAACGGGTTACTTTTAGCAAAGCACTTTTAACAATTCTCAAGGGAAATTAGTGCGAAATGTTCTGAGAGAGAAATAGAGATGTTTTCATACGTCAATAGTTAAGTATGGTATTATAAGCTAAAGGATGGAAATATTTTGAAGTCGAAGGTGTTTTCATACACCTTAATCCGGATCAGGGTCCGAAATCCGTAGTTTAAGAGGATTAACATCATCAGCCAATTTAAGGGAGCGACCAATATGTTCACTACAATAGGAAAATCTTTCGGTTTCCCAATAGAGGAGGAAACTAATTCGTACAAATATGCGTGCAGCTACCGTTTCTTATTTCTCACTTTCGTTAAGTACGTCTCTCTTTTAGTTTTTTTTCCTATAAAATATTTACGCCGAGATGTATCGTTCATAGAACATGCTCCGTATTATCGTTGTAATATCGCTAGTTTTGTTAAGATCATGTTAAGATTGTCATCTTTTTCTTTTTTCTTTTTCTTTTTTTTTAGTAATTGCATGCAAACGATCTGCACGCTCGCGTCATGACCAAGTAACCTGGAAATGAAAGGTACGTCGACACACGTACAGGAATAAAAGGAGCTGTACCGCTAAGAAGACGAAGAAGAAGAAGAAGAAAACCAAGGAGAACGCGACCTTGCTACATTCAGCTGTGTCATCCTCAAGCCGTTAACGCTCAGGTGGTTTCGATCCCAGGGACGAGCATCAATCATCATCGGTAGTGCAGGTGTAATGTGATCATTGTCACTGAGATAACCCAGTACGATATTCATTTATGAAGCGTGTTAAGTGACATAACAGAGTTTATCTGTAACAGCGTATCTAAATACTTTGTGAAAGAAGCGACTTCAATATTAGTTCCTCGATAACATGCAATTTGTTGGGGCAGATCGTTGTCGGGCCAGAGCCATTACGAAACAATCGTTCATTCATATTTAACGAAAGTGGAAAGGCTCTAAAGATGTAAAAGTATAGTAGCGGAGAAACGCTAATTAAAGTTTAAACACAGTTGCGAGAGTAAACGAATACGTAAGGAAAGAGGAAAAGTAGCGAATTATTCCGACTTATCACGAGGAAGACCCAAAATAAAATCAAAACATTCGACAGATTTATTTATGTAGTTACAGGATTATTTAATATGCGAGATTAGTACGAAATACTTAAATATGATTTTTCTAAAAGCCGTTGAAGTTTCCTTTCTTACATCGAAGTAACGAAAATTGCGATCAAATAGCGATGAAAATTATGACTGTGCTTATGCAAAAACGAGGCACAAAAGTTGAGCAAAAACAGATCCTGCCCTGCTTTCTTGAGAAGTGACTCGGCATACCTAAGCTATTTCCGTATGACCATGCACTTCGTAAACTCGCGAGCATGCTAATTTGAAATTACATTCTATAGCTTCGACGATATTTATTCTTCGGAAGGCAAACATAGCTAACACGGCATAAATTATTAGAAAAAAATCGAATATATAGATTTATATAAATGGTTGCGTTATTAAAATTGATGAAATACGTACTACATTTCGAACGGAGTTTAAACGTTTATGATAATATTTATTCTGAGAATTATAAATTGATAATGACAGTAGATGAAGTTGCACGGTAATATAGTTACATTGTTTCAATCAAAATACAGAAATTAGTATTAATAGGAAAATATTTTCAGGTTCCTAAATGGTACCTGTGAAGTCTACCGAAGATCACATACTGGGCGGACAAAGAAGTTAAGACCGGCACGTATATATATATACATATATATATATATATATATGCATATACATGCACTCCAAATATTTTTAAATAGATAAGAATATTAACGATAATCACATAAAAATGATGTGCCGCACAAGAAAGCCCAGTTAATGCTCTACATCTACCCTGTAGATCCGAATTTGTTTGATAAGAGGCGACAAATTCGGTTCTAGAGAGGTTTGTGTGGTGCATACAGAGCAACGGTGATCTTTGAATAAACGTAATCAAATAATAGAGATCTTGTAAAAAATCAGTTATCGTTCAATATTAATCACCGGATACACTAAAGTTCCTGAATCTGATATGGCGTGATAAGTATAAATATTAAAAATGAAACACAAGTTTTTAATATTTTAAAAGTTTGTATACTGTATATAATATTGTATATTGTATATACATAGTAAATTATGTACGCGTATATAACAGATTATAACTTATGACTGCAGCAAAACTTGTAACACATACATAAATCATGTTAAGACTTACAAAATATTTGTAGATACAAGATATACATGTATTACAAGTTTGAATATCGAATTTGTGTAATGTGAGTTTTATGTAATATTAGGTGCGTCTATAGAAATTCTTCCCGTAATATCTAATACTTGACAATCTTTTGCAATTAAAATATTTCTTTTAATTTTTCGACGATTTTTAATTATTATTATTTGTGAGAAATACTTGTATTAACAGTTTGAAGAAACGATGTAACATATACATTGACATAACTACTAAAAACATAGGAGAAATTTTTATCGAACATGAATTTAATTTTTTCAAGATAAAGTTTGACTTACAAAAAAGCGGAAAGAATTTCTGTATACGCATAATATTATACGATTGTATTCTAAACATCAATAATGTCAGGTCACTCATAAAATCTAAGCTCACTGTTGATCTTAGTAACATTAGGTACACGTGAAGTTATCACAGTGACAGATTAACAGCGCTGGTGAAAGATTGTGTCGCTTCCTCAAGTACTCTACATTTATGACTCACGAATATCCAGGCAAAATGCATAAGACTGAAAATTTTCCGATGACCGTAAATCTCTAAATAAGTGAACGGGTATTATTGGCGTTTAGTGTACAATTGGATATGTCGTTAGGTATATTTTTGAATTTGTTTATACATATGATAGAAGAGTTATTAATAGCGACAGAAAAATTTTTAATATAAAAAAGAACTAATGGACGTCATTACGCCCATGGACTTGGTTGCATGCACATTGGTATATCGTCGATGATGAACTGCTACGTCTAGCGTGACCTGTTGCATATAAGTTCACTCACACATCGCATTAAATTGCACATTCTCCTCGTAGTTTATACAGGTCAATTCAAATTCTATTTGCGCAATTAATACTACAGTATGTAACAAAATATCCACGGAATGTTAATTTTGGCTGCTAAATTTTGATATGTATAAACTTATTTTACAGAAGAAAAAGTATTTCGCATTATCTAATAAGATGTTTCTAATGATTTTCTCGATAAATTTCACACTAAAAGTTTAGTGAATTAATTATAAATAATGCTGCTTGCGAAATTATTCCCGATTTATTTATTTTGTTTTTTGTTATATATAATACTTTCTTTTGAGTTTGTTTATAACTTTATGATTCAATAATGTAATTTATAAGTTTAATAACATGATATATATGACAAATATATCCACGTATACATGTTTTTTTACAAAATTTTATGTAATTTAAAATGTGATTTAAAGATATGACGAATAGTGTATGGCAATTTGAACAAATTAGTTAATTACTTCGAAAAGTTTATTTTTATGGCAAAAATGTGAATATGTGCATATGGTTATAATTACCGTGCGTATGGTTATAGTTACCGTACAATTCCAACGATGGTATTTCCCGTGCTGAACACGCCCCGGACACCTGTGAATATTTCAATCCGAAGAGAACGGCATGTCTTATCCGTACCACCCAGTATGCTATATTTTTTAATATCTTATTCTTTTTACCAGGAGCCTTCATTAAATGTACGTCTATCGCTCAGCGAATATGCGATTTCTTGAATCTTTCTGTAACGGCTGCGGCAAATCCATTAATCTCTGATCGTGTTCATATTAAAATGACATACCAGTCGTTACGCAACTACTCATAAGTGCTAATGAAGTGCATACACAAGTGTAATTACCAATCGAGTGGACTGCCCACTTTTCACTCGTAATATAATCTAGTGAATAAAAAAGAGTGGTTTCATAATGACACGGCGAGGAAAAACGCAGTCACGTCTCACGTAGATCAGCAATTACCAGCTGATGGTTCGCTGGAAGTTAACATTAGAAACTCTGTAAGCGTCCCTCGTGGAATGTATTTAGTTTCGCATCATTCTCAACGATAGGAATTTATTTATACATAATTTTCCAACATATAAATGATATCGTAAAAGAACAAATTGCGAAAAACAGTCGAAAAAACATATGAAGCATGCAGGATATAGCATGGATGATGAATCGTATTCCATTCAGTTTCTTTATTTTTACAAGATAGATTCAATGTTAATTCAAGGTGTGTTAAATCTTCAATTGAAAAATGTTCTAATGCGTCAAGCGTTAATTACATAATAATATAACTTTTTGACTACACTAATCTCACACGATGACTGATTTATAATTTATCGTTCTTATTTTCTTTTTACGCAGCTTGTCACAGTTACGTTATCGATCATTTAACGAATAATTAAAAATCTAATCGGATAATTTTATAGTAATTAACATATATCCGATAAATGACATGAAAAAAACTTACCGATACATAAATCATTTCTTACATGATTATTTCGAGAGAAAAAGAGAGAACAGCCTGTGTTCAAGAAACGATCGTTAAAACTTATCACGTATATATATATATATATATATAAACCAGATACTCAACAACAAATAATCTCCATAATGTATGACGACCGGGCTCCCTCCCTCAGTTTCATACGCTGAGAACAGAGTAATTTCATTACATTAATCAGCGTAATTAAAAGTCTCCCCCCGGTGAATGAAGAGGGAATCCTACATCGATACGCGGAGGACTCATCCCGCTTCGGGAGCAGTTATCGCCTCGGACATCGGATCGCGATGTTCACGTCGGACGCTCACGTCATCAGGACTCGCCATTCTGGTTCGAGTAGCGTCGCAGGATGGAGACAAACGGCCGCATGCCGCGCGATACGGTTGGACGCGTTTACGTACGTTTCCAGAGATCTTCGCGCGGAGTCTCGAGTCTAAATCCACATTCGAATGTGCGAGAAAACATAGCAAGATTAATGATTTGCGTGACACGAGGGAGAGGGTGCTGCTGCTCGCTCGTCTGCCTGCCTGGCTGCCTGCCTGCCTGCCAGCCAGCTCGTTCGCTCGCTGCCCGACGGCGGCTGCGCCACGCGGTGTAACTGGGAAGAAACGTGAACTGCGGCAATAGCTTTGCCACTTTTCTCCTGGCGCATTGTCCGTATTTCTGTCATGCAGTAGCAGACCGTCTTACGAAACTATTGACCCGATTCCGCGAATTCCGCGCGACTCAACCGATCGGGAATTGATCGGGCCCAGGCAGGCAGGTACATCTCTCGAAAATGTGGCTTTCGGTCCTCCCGTTCTCCGTTTCCGTGAGGGAAGCAGAGTGAAAAAAAAAGAAACGATCGATTTTTGCTCTGTGCGCGTGAAAGCAATGTTCGATTCGTGAGAGACGCGGCGATCCGCCGCCGGCTGTTACAGCGATTGAGATAACGCGAGCAGAAACGCGGGCTTTTCGAGTTCGCTTAAAGCATCGGGTGTATATATGTGAATATATATACGTATTCCGGCTGTAATTACCAATTTCATTAACTGGAGGCAGCCAGGCCTATCGATTACGCGAAAAAGCGCGCGCGCCGGGCGGAGCGCGAGCGGGCGGTGGGGGAGCGGGAGGTGGAACAATATCTTCGTTGCTTTTTGCAATATGCTAATTATGTCAATTATGATTTATATCTATTCTTTCCCGCACTTCTAACGCTCGGTTATCTGATTAGTTTTCGTAAATTACATCGTTCCATATTTTCTTCGCGTTGGTGATTGATGAATTCCGTCCGATTAACATTCCAGCTTGACACGAGGTGCTCATTAGCTGCCGGGATTGTGCCGTGTATGTAAAAATAAGAGACTTTTTCTCTCTCGTATTAGCGACAGGTCGAACGCGTGGAACACATTCTTTTCGTTCTTACGGCCCGAAACACTTGTGCGTTTCAACAACGGTCGCTTCATTCGATTCTCTCCTCTTCTTCTTCTTCCTCTTTTTTTCTCCTTTTTGTCAAACACACTCAATTATTGTTAACTGTCTGTAACTGAGAGAGCCTTGACGTGGCATGTAGCGAATATCAGACGGGCATCACGTCACTGTTAGATCAAACTGCAAGCTGAAAAAGCTGAGAAAGGGTTGAACTGAACGAGTCCTTTGCGCAAACAATGCAAGACAGATGTCCGATGGATTCGTGTTTCAGTGACTGATGACATCTCCGGCGATCACGAGGGGACCTCCCGGCATTTAAAACGTCACTTTCGTCGTCACGGGAAATGAAACGGGACAGTTGAGTACGCAAAAGCGCGTTAGATACATTCCGTATCAACGGCTGGATTCGGCCAACGCGATCATCGTCGTCTAATTTCGTCGATCCGATCCTGCCGATAAGTCTCGTACTAACTGTCAAATTACGACTCACGCGCGTGAATTTGTCCCACACGGGGAGAATCGTTGCGCGACATATTTATTCAGGATAGTCCGAATCCATCGTGAATCACGCTCGTACGCGGCACGTTTGAGTGACAGTCAGGTGGACTCCGTATTTCAAAATCGTAAGGCGGGCACGTCCATCAATTTAAAATTGTGATCCGGAGGGTATAACGAATCTTTGGACGATAAGGTACGACGCCGTGGCGTAGGTCTAGACTGGGTAGACGTACCAGGAGGAGGAAGGCAGCTTTTGATGCCTCTGGCCTTCGGTCCAGTCGTGCATCTTGTATCGAACACGGACAGAAAGAGGTCGGCATAGATCTGACGCCCGCGATGAGCGCCGCTGCGGTATAATATTAATGATGACTGGCTCACCACTTGGGAAGAGGCTGTCTACTTGGTCTATCCTTCAGTATCTCTCCTTTTCCTCTTTTTTTTTTTCCCTTCCTTAGGCGCGGATGCAATTTATTCGTAATCGGTTTATGCACGTACTTCACCCCTATTAATTTGTCTGGCGTTGATAAACTTCCAATTTATGCTTGAGAGAGTCTCCAATTCTCTTTCGCACACGCGATTTGTTATTACCGCCGCTGCGTGTCTCCTTCACTCTCCTCTTCATTTCGGTTTTTATCAATTATCTCCTCTAACAGAACTAGTTAATTGAATTTCTCGATTATACTTTCCGTGTGTTTCACTTGTCAAATTGCATTTTAGACGCCATTAGGCCGGTGTATAAACTCAATCATCGCTCGAGAGCTTTTCTTGTTACTCTATTACTAACCTCATTACTTTGTCGATTTGAACAATAATAATCGATCTATCGCCTATCTCAAAATTTCTTATATTTCTTGTATATATCATACGTAGTTTCTATATAATATAATAATCATATACACACCGTACACACGTATACACGTAACGATTATAAAACGATCGAGCTTCTCATCTTGTGATCGTGAAACCCATTTAATGAGGTAACGAACATGTTCTTTACCTATCCGCGATACATACAATCTCCGATATCTATAGTTCTCTCATTTTCACGTTGTAGAAATCAAATTTCGCTCATAACTCCTGAACAATACTTTCCATTTTCCCCGGGATAGATTGCTACGACGACTCCTGGCCACTATAGCGGAAGAATATGGTAACTTTGGAGGATGCGAGCCAGGCAGCGAATCATATCCCGCAGGGGAAAGATGGCCGTGGCCCTGACCACCTGCTGCCTCTTTGATTCCGCCGCTAGAATCTCATTTAGCCGTGTAATCCCGATGTTCATTGACGATGGATCGTTCCGTCCGTGCCGAGCATTGTAGGTGTACTAAAACATCTTACGTCTCTAATATATCATCGATTGAGAATAAAGAGTAGATCGGCAAAGTACGCTATTACCAGTGTACCGGGATACACATCCGGTTGAACAAAATGACGCTGTAATACCACGTACGCCATTTATGGTGCACAATGCAGAGTAAATAAATATATTAACACTTGCAGCTCTTCTGCAGCTCTTTCTCTCTCTCTCTTTCTCTCTGCTGTAATAGTTCTCTTGTTCTACTATATATTGCATTACAATGAACTAAGATACATTCATCGCTTTACCATGCTATAATGTTCATAAAGAGAGTTAAGACTGTTAATAATATTCATTCTTGATAAGTATGAGGGAACTGAAATACTATCTTTGTTACCTGTCGCATGATGGAAAGATCGAGTCGACGATTGAGGCAACACTGAATACAAGACTCGACGAACTCGATAAAATTGATAAGAGCACACGCAGACGCGTGAGTTTCGTAATTAAGAAAGGAAGGTGCCAACATATTGACTCGTTTGAGGTGACGAGTTATTAAGCGCGGCGAGTTACACCTCGTGTAGTTCTCGATTTCCGCGGAAGACAGTGATTCGGCTTTCCTGACTGCCGACAATGAATAGCCACTGATTGTTTGCGCCGCGTCACGGTTTTAGAGTCGTGTTTAATTCAATTTGTGAGTGACTTACGGTGCCTGCCATTAGTCATCGTGCAGCGCACGCCTCGTAGCCGACTTCTTCTTGCCCGCCGGAGGACTAACCTGAGTAGTAATGGAAGAAGCGACTCCTTACTTTACTTGTATCTCAGATGCGCCGCAATCGATGCTGCATAAGAATGAACATCATCAAATGAATGGAGTGTAAATAGTCAGGCATGGTATGTGTGTGTGTTCGTTGTTACAGTTTCTTAATGATCGACAGGCTAATGGCTGACAATGTCAGCGAATTCCATTGAGATTACAAGTAACACTTTCCCCGATTTTACGTAATGTAGGTAGACACTTTCATTCGATAAGACAAGAGAGGAGGTACAAACGAGAAAGATCGGACCACCCAGATATAACATAAGCATACGTATATTTACGAATTACTCCGCATTATTTGTTTACAAACTCAACGAACGCCCGGTGGGATAAACGAGGGGAGAAAACAGGAAAAAGGCAGCTCGATCGTCGAAAGGCTTTGCCTTGTGCATTTTAGCCGCCGCTCACGGAAAGCCAAATGATTGGTAGCACAATGAGACGTGTCGACTGAGGATGCCGCTCATCAAGTGAATCAGCAGCAAATGGTAGCGGGCTAATAAGTGCTATTATTCCGTCGCCGTGGCGTTATGCACGTGGTACTCTCCGCGGTACGTAAATACGGAAGAGGAGAGGAAGAAACGAGAAGGAGAGGTACTGTTACCGGCCGTCACGGACTAAAGAGAGAGAGAAAGTTACTGTTAGGCGCTGAACTCCCTCGTCCAGCCGC